ATATATAAAACCCGAGATTTTTTTAATAGTTAAGTGAATTAATTTGCTAAATGGAATGCAAAGAAAATTTCGAAAAAGAATTGACATTCACTTGATATGTTATTATAATTAATATTTCGTATTCTGTGTAATTAATTATTATTTAACTTACGTCTAACGCACTCCACCTCCGAGTTTCCGGTGAACCCAGGCGGGCAGCTACACTGTTTAATGTGACTTCTCACGTCGCATTCCGCGTTCATTCCGCACGCGGCTCTCACACTGCACGGATCCAAGCATTGTCCACTGAGACACACGTCTGATAAATTGCATTCCTCATTCGATTGACAGAACGCTGCAAGAATTACAAATTGCTTTCGTTTACGATAACAATTTCTTCAGAAGTGAGTTCTTCTTAAGAATTTTTCACGTGGCTAGCGAGTTGAATGCTCGCCAGGCCGGTTACAGTAGCGCTATATCCACTTGAAAGGCTCGTTTTATGACCTACCGCGTACCGAAGAGAAAATAAACCTACGAATCGCGTACATGAATCCTCGGACACATAATAAGAAACAAAAGAAGAGAGAGAGTAGAATAAAAAAAAAGAGGGGAAATGTTTTTCATATTCATTCACATTAACTTATTTTGAATAATAAATGATTAAAACATACAAAATATGAAATTTCCTCTGCAAAATGTCTGGATGTGAACAGTTCGCTACTCAGGCTAGCGAGCAGGAACCAAATCCGACTTACCTGCTCGCCCGGTCATAAAAATCGACCCTTCCAAGTGGATTTTAGGCTCTTGAGAATACTCACGTCGACAGATGCCCTCGTAACAATAGGTATTAGTGGAACAGTCTGTGGCTGAGGAACAAACGACAGGTTTGGGTCGGCAGCCTATACTGAGATTGTTGGGATCACCCTCATAATCGGATCGGCATTGACAGGCAGCAGCATGATTAGCGGCCGTGCAGTCCGCGTTCGGTCCGCACTGCGTGCGTGAACAAACATCTGAAACATTTAATTAGAATGATTAAATTCGATTAATTAGCGTATATAAAATTAATTATTATAATCACTGAAGTAAAGATTTTACTCATTTATAAAAAAAATTGTATCGATGTCTATATATCATAAATATATGAAATATTAAAAGATGAATGTAAAGTTTCGTACCTGAGCACTTAGGCACGTTGTTAACACTTATGCATTTGGCAGTCAATGGGCAGTCCTCATCGTGCAAGCATTCGACCGGTGGCTGACAGCCGCTGTTGTAAGGATCTCCAACCATGCCTTGTTGACAGTGACATTTGTAAGAGCCTCTGGAATTCTCGCAAACAGCACCCGGGGCACAGGGTTCGTTCAAGCAGTAGTCGATCAATTGACATCCGTGAGTCGGTTCGCCAGTGTAGCCCGGTTGACAAGTGCAGATCTAAAATCATTGGCAATGTAAAAGACAAACTTAATAATAAATCAGTTACTTAATACACACCTGAGTATGTCTTTCCGCGGTGCAAATAGCATTAACGCCGCAAGGATTGTGGGCCAGACATGCAATTCTGCATTTATGCGTGTCACAGACTTTCTCTCCACTACAATCGTCGTTAGTCTCGCACTCAATGGGTTGGCATCCGATTTTGTCATCCTTTGGATTTCCGAAGAAAGTCGACTTGCACGAGCAAAGAGCAACATGGTCATCCGCCTTACACTCCGCGTTCCGCCCACAAAGAATCAAGTCGCAAGCCTTGCGACATTCCGCCTGGCCAATATTGTTCTTGACGCATCTCTCGTCATAGGAACAATCGTCGTCTGACAGACAACGCAATTCCTGTACGCAAATGTTATTGTGACAGTATTGGTACTCAGGGCAGCTGGAATTGCTCTTGCAAGTTGGCTGGCAGAGCCCGTTGATGCAAAGCTGGTCGCCAATGCAGTCTCTCGTACTACCGCAAAGCGCTGGAATAAATTCAAATTAATTAAAAGAAATTTCAAATAAATTTAAACTAAGTTTAAGATAGTTTTTTATGAATTATAAAATTTTGGATAATCTTAGTACGTCCGCTGGCTTCAAAATTTCAATAGAACCATCTTAATTTGTTTAAACTGAGGTAGTTTTCTTACCTGTACATATTCCTCCGTTGCAAGCTGATCCTGTGGCGCACTGCGAGTCTGATTTGCAGTACTGAACTGGAGTGCAACCCAAATTGGGGTCGCCTGTGCCGCCAGGTTGACAAGTACAGACTGCGCTGTGATTTAATGGAGAACAGTCTGCTCCTTGCCCACAAACGTTTGATAGTGAACAAGGATCGACGCATTTGTGATTGAAGCACGCATCGGAAGGACTGCAATCGCTGTGATAGTTGCACTCCAAGTGAATGCACTCCGACTAAAATTATGAAAGAAGATAAACGTTAGAA